GACATTAACTGCTAAGGACACTGAAAAAAATAACACTTCTCTAAGGGACACAATAGAAGACCCTCCTAAAACGTGTGAATGATAGGACAGAATAGAAGACTTCGGATCTTCTAATCTGTCCAGGGCTTTAGCTAATTTCTCTACACCAACCCGTCGGCTCAGGTAGGATGTTCCTGTATGGTGGCGCTATTCTACCCCTTAGACGCGTTTTTGATCTGGGAAGGTAACGTTAGTTAATCCCAAACACGCGTTATGAGAATTTAGTGTATTTTTAATGTATTGTAATATGTCTGAAATGTTATAAAATTTTGTTGCCACGTCTTGTTGTTTGCCAAAACGCGTTGTTTCTGCACAGCGTGCAGAAACAACGCGTTTTAAACATTATGTAAAGCAAACAGTACTCTTTCCCTAACGCGTTCACTAAAAATGCATTTAGTTTAAGTCAAATAAAACGCGTTTTTGAAGTGCAGTTGAGTTTTAAGTAGTGACTTTTAAAGTCTTTATCATCTGAAATAAAAAACAACATAAAAGACGGTAAAGTTAAATTCAAATCCAAATTGTAAGACTAAGTGCGAGAGTGAGTACTAAAACCTGATGAAGATTCAAAACGCCTGGAACTGCCGAGAATGTAATGAACTATAAACATCTGTGAGCTTTAATGGATGTGTTAGATCAGCAATCTTTGTTGAAAGAGCTTTGTGGATCCTGGAAATTAACTTACCCTTTTTGTCAAGTATCAGATCCGTAGTAGCATTTCTACTTAATTTTATTCACACAAAAGTATTAACTTATGAATTGCACACAATATGACTAGTCCAGGCATACCGTATCATCTTTGAATTTCAAAAATCTTAGGAATTATTTATAGAAAATCAGACTCGAATTTCTAGTATGTAGAAAATCGACGCCGAATTTTCATAGTTTTAGAAATTCTATGTCGATTTTCCGAATAAAATGGAAAGTCAATTTATAGAAAATACAAAATCACGAATTTCTAAAAAGTTAGAAAATCTACGAGTATTTTATAAATATCAGAAAAAGCAACACGATTTTCCAGATCGATTTTCTATAAATTGGAAATGAATTCCAATTTACAATGTATTAGCTGTAGTATAAATATAAGCTAACGCAGCTCGTTGGCCGGGACGTCACATTTTTACTGTCAACACCGTGCTCCTTCTGCAGAAAATGAAAAAAATTCATAACTCAAGACTGGAAACCCAAAACATCTAACATTCTTTTGAGGTTTTCCATTGTTCATCAGGATAAATCTTACCATAGTAGTTTGAGGCCAAAAATGATTTATCACCTTAAGAGGTTTCCTCGTAAGAAAACAATTCGCGATATCAATTCTATGAGCGAAGAAAAAAGAAAAATTGCAAATAAAGCAAAATATGTGCGAAAAAGAACAAAACAATTCTCAAAAAAGATAAGAAAAAGTAGGACCAAGAATGGTATGTTGTTTCTCCTTCTCTCTTCAACATATGTATGAGTCATTTGAAACGGTGTAAACTAAGATTAAAGGCCAAAGAGGAATGAAAAGAATGGTGTTAGTGATGATAAATCGAAAATGAAAGAATAATAAGAGGATTGGCAGGATTACTCATTCGATCACGATATCCGTTCCAAAGGTTGCAAGAAAATTTTGAACAGAATAGATGCTGAAATGATCTCAAGACCTGTGTCTAACAGATCTCAGTAACGGCAACACATTCTGTGCACGCAGCACCATTCAGGAACTATACACTCATCTTTTATGTTCTTTTAAGACTGTTCTAAGCTCTAAGTTTACCTGTGATATAAACCCTAAGAAAAAAATGTTTTCATTCGTTTGAAAACAAAAACATAATTGAATCCTATCACTCTCCAACTTCTGTCAATGCTTGGTTATGTTGGTTATGGTGTCACACACTGCCTGTAGAATTTCTTACTTCTTCGTTCATTGTTCAAGCCAGTATTTCGATGACAGATTGCCATCGTTTTCGTTTCAATGAGCCAACCCATTATTGTAGATGTGGATGCCGCCGTTTATTTCGTTCGACTATTCCTTTTCAGTCAGGGAAAAGATGATATTATTAATACCATAGGTCTGTAGCAACGAATGCAAATGTTAAAACTTTGATCAAAAACAGATTTTACATTTAAAATGTTTCTTTTATCAGCTGCGCTAGAATAGAATTATATTCTGGCGCAGCTGATAAAAGAAATATTTTAAATATAAAATGTATCTTTTTTGACCAAAGTTTTAACATTTACATTTGTTGCTACAGGCCTATTGCAATTTGTAAGTTTACTATATAGACATCTAACAAAGATGGGAAATGTAAGAAAATGTATAGTCTATTTACAATTTCTTACACTTTACATTCTTTCTCAACTAACCAGAAGAAAATTTTCTTCTCGTCAGCTGAGAAAGAATAGAGCACTAGCAAATAAGGAGATATCTCTTTTCGCACATGCATATCTTTCTGTTCTCTTTCGTTTCAATCGACGCGCTGAGACAAAAAAATGTTGGCACACGAGATATCGTATGTGAAAAGAGATATCTCTTTATTTGCTAGTGCTCTAATGTAAAATGTAAGAAATTGTAAATACATTTTCTTACATTTCCCATCTTTGTTAGATGTCTAAAGCACTAAATTGTATATGCATTTAATTTTTTTATTGCGCATAAGAGAAGGATGACAACAAACATTTCTACATTTCTAGAGCAAACCGTCGTCACCTCTTTAGCAGCTGAGAGAAAAGATGTGCAGTATTTCATTGTTTCACGAAAGATAAGAACCGAAAATATTTTGATAAAAACTGTCACTGATTGTTTTCGAGATTCATTTTCATGTAGCACAGATTATTTGGTAAAACATATATTCACGGTATAAACAACTATTCTGCTCTGTTATCTGTATATTTCTTTGGCCTTCATGCCTCGTATTCATGTTGTCGGTAAGCCACCAAAATTCGTTCCTGTTCATCGAATCGATGGTGAGCCATATTTGTTTCTAACAGAAGTTCAAGACTATTTTCCTCACGTGAAGCGATTAATGTGGGGTGATGAATTAGTACCGTTCGCCAAAGGTCATAATGGAAATATTCTCATACCATTGAGAATACGTGCACCGTGGAAAACATATTTTGGTTATGAAGAAAAAGAATAAACTGATTGGTTGGTGAATCCATATATAATTTTTTACTTTGAATACCACTTTACTCTTATCTGATGTGGTTTTGTTTGTTAGATTTTGTTTTGATTGAAATTAGAAATCATTCGCATTTCCTCTTGTTGAATCCAATGACACTAATAACAGAACAAAGAAATAATTATTGTTAAGATAAAGAGAAAGCCGGCAAAAAAGGTATGCAAATTATTACCAGCAAAGAATAGAATCAGCATAAAAACAACTAATCATCAACTAAGTTGGTTAAGATCACCAATAAAAAGCAAAGCGCTTTCAATGACTAGCAGTAAAGATAAAAAAGAGCACACATGAAAGTACGTCATTCAAATGGACTTTTGTGCACTTTTTAATTTTCTTCTTCGTACACGGAGAGGCAAACGGGTGAATCGCGTAGTTCTGTCATCGGGGTGTGAGTGCGTTACCATTTTTACTCTTTTTGTTTATGTTACAATATTTGAAAGGAACATTGTAGAGATTTGAGAGATGTGTTATTTTGTACCTAAAAGAGTTCTTTCCAAAATCCACGCTAAGATCAACTCGGTTCACTTAATCGTATTTGCGTAACAACTAAAACGCATTTTTTACTGGAGATGTTAGTATTTTGATTATGACGCAAAAACGATTGAGTAAACCGAGTTGATCCGAGGATGGATTTTCGAAAAGCACTCTTTTAGCAACAAAACAACTCGTCACTCAGACTTCTAAAGCGTTCGTTTCAAATATTCTAGCATAAACAAAAGGAGTAAAAACGGTAACGCACTATCACTTCACTAGTAGAGTTTAGCGATCCAGCTGCAAAGTCAGTAGTGTAATTCATATTTCCTTTTCTTCTCTCTGATGTCTGCCGTTTTTGCTAAATAAATGTATGGACTCCACAAGTGCAGAAAAATGAACTAATCGATTGTTGGGAAGGCTTTGAGATAAAACGGGTTCGACGCACATTAAATTTCGAGTTCTAGATTACTATGAATACCGATGTCTTCAACGTTGTTTAAAAATTGACGCTTATCACGCTTTTCTGAAAAGTCGCCGTTTAGCGCAACATCTCGGCAACTGTTTTGTATATCGTGATTAAACGCTGATTATTTTGTAAGTCACAATTTCTCCAAACATCGCTGGCTAATCGCCATTACTTTCCGTTCTTTGGTTCCCTCTTTCAACAAAGATTGCTGATCTAACACATCCATTAAAGCTCACAGATGTTTATAGTTCATTACATTCTCGGCAGTTGCAGGCGTTTTGAATCTTCATCAGGTTTTAGTACTCACTCTCGCACTTAGTGTTACATTATTTCTAGTCATTCATCGTTTTATTTTGCAGCTGACCAAGTATATAATAAACATGAATTTCGACGGCAATTGTCTCTTTTTTTGTCGCAGTGTCTCAAACTGATTAATCGGATGAAGAAGGTCCGAGTAGTTGGCACTGTCGTAAGAAAGTCATTGAAGTGTCAAACAATGAAAAAAGGCAAAAAGAAGAAATTTCTGATACGTGGATTCGATCCCAGCATCTCCTTTTATCCGATTAGCCGCGACTAATCGCCAAAAGTTGCTAAAAGGTCTCAAAAATGTCGGCGACTAATCGCAACAATCGAACCCTAAATAAGTATGACAAGTATAGTCGTCACAGGAAGTACGCTAACGGTTTTTTGAACTTTAGAAAATTTTGATAGTTATTTCAAAAACTTTTCCTATTTTCAAACTTCTCTCGGTTCTTCTATGTATTTCTCAATTATGGATCGACATATAGTTGGCATTTGGTCTCAAAATAAAAGTGAGAGCGGTTGCTGTTTTGTGGTTCGCGTAGGAATATTACCGATAAGTTAACGTTTGCCGTATGTGAAAAAAACATCTACGTTTCCACTTTCAGAGAATGTATATCCATGGATATTTTTGCTAGGATCAGTTCATTTTCAGAGTCAATTTAATATTCTGCAAATGAGGCGGAATGACTGAACTCCAATTCTCTGTGCGTCGAATAGCACTGAGCTGCTCGTCGCTACATTCTGGGAGTCACGAAGAGCAAGGCGATCTTACGCCGAGGATATTCACAGTTGTTATAAAAACGGAGTGGAGGACACTTCGGAGTATATGTCCCTCACCGTACGGCTAGTTTCGCTCGAAGCAAGCATTTTGAAGCAAACTCCGAGTATAAAAGTTGTTCAAAATCGAATTTTGGAGTCCCTAACCAGAGCTTTTTTTAACATTTTCTGTTTCTGACTTTTAAATTAAATTTTACGGTTTTTAAAATTTTAAAATTGCGTATTTTTTAAATTCTCATCATTCAAATACTTAGTTCGGGCGAAACTAACCGTAAGGTTAGCTAAAAAAATCTTGGGTGGGCCAAAAATCAGCGATATTTTCAAGTTTTGAATTTTTTCTTCAAGCATTCCCGGTTTATAGAGGACACTTCGAAGTATATGTTTGAAAGTTTTTTCGGATTACTGAAATTATTTGGCTAAGAAAAAAATGAATTACCTAAAACAATATTGTTAAATTTTCGACTTATCAGACTTACCGAGCGACCAAAAACGAATTCTGAAATTTTTAAGGTGGTCCATATTGTAGCCCGTGAAATTCTCTGTCTGATGAGATATTGCTTGAATTTTTGTGATGAATGGAGAATGGACAAAAATTTTTTTAATAGTTTTTCAAAATGGACGCCCCACTCCCCCTTAGGTCGATTGAGGATACTTATTGCTTTTCACTTCGAGCGTTGCCTAGCACAATGTTCTTTCTTTAAGTCGGCTGAGTGAAACTCAAGGAGACTTATTGCTTTTCATCCAGAAAATTTCTTCTTTCTTTCTTTCTTTTTTCTCATAGAAAATGTTTTTCCAGAAAACGTGTTTGCTTGGGTTAAATTTACAAATATAGCGCGTGACAACGTTTCTTCAGAGAAAGCACGGCTTAGATGCGATTAAATATCACTTTAAGAGATAAAACGAGTTCCCATGTCTTCTGATTTAACAAGTTCATGTACCCGCATAAAATGGTACACGTATCCTAAAAGCTAACGAGTTCGAATGATTAAACGTTTCATTCAGTTTACTCGTTATAACGCATTTTACATATTGAAGTAGCACACTTAATCGGTTTGAACATAAAAAACAAATTTATAGTCACACGAAAGGTTATTTTAACGCGTTTATGCGCGTAGAATAGCTTATAATCTGTTCGAACTCGTTCAGTGATGATCCATGAAAATGTTCAAGCATTAAAACGCGCTTAACCCTTCAGCCCCGGAAGGTATTTTTTCGAAGATTCATGAAATGCGTCCACTAAAGTGCTCACTATGCCCATTCGATACTTAAAGTAAAATGAAGTTACCTAGGTGACAGAATGTAGAATATTATTACGATTTAGAGCCAACAAGTGAATAAAAATAAATTTTTGGAAGAGTCGAAACGTCAAGATAAATTTAAATTATTAAATTAAATAAATGACTGCTGCTGTACAAAAATTTATTTTTAGGGTATAGAATATCCACAAGTGTGGGCGTCAGGGCGGGTAACCGGAACTTCGCCAATAGGACTTTCGCCAACAGGACATTCGCCAATGGCGAAAGTGCAGGGGGTGTATTGGCGAAAGTACAGGAGGTAAATTCGCTGGCAATGTTGTTCCTTCAGCGATCTGAGATCGTAATACACCGGAGCGAGTTGTGACAGGCATTAATCGAATACTTATTATCTAAACTGACATGTGGCAAAAAAGAAAAAAGAAAAAACAGACAGAGATAGCTAAACATGATGCAATATATAGACCTAGAATAATAGTGATCACAACTAGACGAAAAAAACAATGAAAGAAATAAAATAGACGAAAAAGAAAAAGAAAACAGAGAGACGAAAACGTGTACCACAGTCAGTATAATACTAAAAGATCACGCGCACACATATGTGAACAGAAGTAAGACAAAAAATAGAAAACTAAATACTAAGAACTTTTCTAATCCACGTCTAATTCACGGTCAAAATGGCGAAAGTACAGTGGACATTCGCCATTGGCGAATATCCTATTGGCGGAAGTCTTATTTGGCGAGATTCCGGAACCCCGTCAGGGCGGAGTGACATGAAAAGTAGTGATACTTTCGATTTACATTTTTTTAAAGTTGCCAGTAATTCAGAGTTTCAGCACTTCTTATTTTTGACTTAAAGGCACATCAGTAGATGCAGTTTTTTCTGGTAATCACTAATCTGGCCTTATTTTTTTCGATTTGGGCGAGTTTTCACGGAGAAAAACGCAAAATACTGCGAACTCCTCAAAAAAGCCAAAAAATGACTTTTGAGAAAATCGCTATTATCATCTCACAATTTTACTTTCCGATCTCATCAACGTGATTTTCGGATTCTTCGACTCAAACTGAGCTTAGACATATGGCCTAGAGCTTGTTCGCGCATATCGTATAGGCTGTGGAAATTTAAAAATTGGTGGTCCTCCGTTGGTGCGACCTAATTTTGCAACCCTATCTAGTTTTTTCGGTGAAAAGCTAGCCCCTTCATTCATACCCTATTCAAACCGCCGCGTTGTGCACTACAAACTAATGGCTCCATTCTTTTCTTTGGCTTTTAGAGATCCGGTTTCCTGGAAAACCAGTGTTTCAGAAACTCTAAAAAGTAACAAAAACCTTTCTTAATCAGGCATGATCGTAGCTCGCAAATTGCTGCTTGAAATAAGACATCTTCCAACTCTACACGACCTTTCTTTGCAATGCTATAGAATTTACAAGAAAAGCCCTAAATGTTCATTGTCAGCTCACAGCTAACAAAGAACTAGAAATAAGAAATAAGAAATTATACAAAGAAAGAATACAGAAATAAGAAATTAATTTCTCTGATGTCCACAGGTGTGAACATTTCATTACTGGACACGATGCACCAAGACAACTTGACGGAAAATAAATTTTTTTGTGTAATTATAGAATAGATCCTTCTAGAACAGTTATCAACCATCACATCTGAAAACCGTTCTATGGCTAAATCT